TCCTTTTTTGAATTCTATCATAAAAACATTTCAATAATTCAAATTTCTCTTTTTGTCTTACATTAAACCTATAATTCTAATATATATAATATATATATATATTTATTTTTTTATAGGAAGCTATAAAAATAGTAATAGAAAAATTAAATCAAAACTCATGAATATAATCCAAAGAAATAGACACATTGATGGATTAATTAGTAATAGTAATGATACTTATTTACTTAAAAGTTTGTTTATTTTGGATCCAAAACCTTCAGCCGGGAGCTTAAGCATTTATGATATATCCAATAATGAAATGATAGATTTCATTTCTATATTAAGGTCAATTGAAGAAGGAATCGGTACTGGTACAGGGTCTGATTTATTTTCTGGAACCTTTCTTATATCAAAGAAAATAAACATCTACATCTCTCAAGAATTTGTAAAGCTACTTAATGAATACTATAATAATGTATATGAAACTAATATATTTGTTCATTCAGTGGATTTAGCATCAGATAGGTCGATAGTCATATCGCCTATTATAAACTAATATGGAAGAATTCAAATAAGTGCTGAAGTTTTCAGTTCAACTTTTTCAAAGAGATATGAAAATTCTTCAAGAATTCTTGCAAAATTTTCAGATAGTAATGATGTGACTATATATTCAGACCAGATTCAATTCTTTTTTGAGCATTCTATAGACTATCCAGAAGCGTCAACAAAGCATAATCTCGTATACATCCATTGGTATAAAAAGGTAAAAGATGAAAAATTAAGATATCATCTTAATATTAGCAAAAATAATGATAAACTATATAATGTGGAATTATAGAATAAAGAGTTTTATGATGTAGATCGTGATTGCATAATTTTTATATATAACATACTGGGTAGATTTGTTGTCGGTACTTATATTGTTGGTTTACAAAAGCCTTATAAATATATATTCATAATTCCGTTAAATAGAAAATATAATATCTAATTATATACAATTTATATTATATATAATTTAATTATTCAGATTATAATTACTATTTCAAAATTTATATATGATCGGAAACTGATGTTTTATGCATATTGATATATTTAAGAATTATACTATATATATATCCGATAAAATACATTATCATTATACAATAATTTTTATATAAATAACTATACTTAAACAACATATTATATAAAAATAATATATATTTTTTAAAATAATATTAATGGACAACACCCGTTCCTTCAAAATACTAGCTAATTTCAGCGAGATATTCATCGGAAAACTTTTTTATAAGATATATATCGATATATAACAGGAAATCGATATATATCAATAAATCTGTTATATATCAATATATAACTAATATTGGTATATATCGATAAATAGATATATATTAATAATTATATAATTATCGATTATCATTGAATTTCATTTAAATGCTATTAATCGATTAAGTGTTATCAATTGATATATATCTTACATATACACTTTAAATTATTTACGTAGACAATTAAATTAATAAGCTTTAAATATACACCTTAATTAGAACATAAAATTGTTTGCTAAATATTTATTCCTTCTATTAAATCTCGGGATTATATGCACAGTT